TTTCAAATATAAAAAAGGCATAAAATTCACCTGAATATTTTAAAGAGAAATTTCTAGCAATTAAGGAAGAACATGAAGATTTTATACATATTTATACGGACGGTTCAAAAGATGGTTGCAAAGTAGGTGCGGCTGTGTTTGAAAATAATTTTACATCTAGTATGAGGTTACCAGATAATGCATCAATTTTTACTGCTGAAGCAAAAGCTATCGATTTAGCATTGTCATACATTGCACAGCATACCCACGATAAATTTGTGATATTTTCTGACTCGCTTTCTGTTTTAATATCCATTAAAAATAAAAAATCTGACAATATCATGGTAAAGAAACTTCTTTTACGATTTCATGATATACTAAAAACAAAATATGTTAAATTATATTGGATTCCAAGCCATGTAGGAATACGAGGAAATGAAAAAGTAGATGCTTTAGCTAAACAATCATTAAATTTTCAAAAAACTGACTTATTGTTACCTGCTTGTGATTTTAGACCGGCTATAAATAAACTCGTATCATCTGAATGGAAAGCAAATTGGGACAATGCCGTTTTTAATAAACTTCACGATATAAACCCATCTCTTGATATGTCACCATCTCTATCTCTGTCAAACCGCCGTGATCAAACAGTTCTTCTTCGGTGCCGAATTGGACACACTAAAATTACACACTCTTATCTCCTCACAAATGACAATGCCCCTTTCTGTGTAGGTTGTAATGAAAATTTTACTGTCAAGCATTTTCTTCTTGAATGTCATGATTTTTTACAGGCCCGTAATAGATTTTATTCTGTAAATTCACTCAAAGAACTTTTTAATACAATTCCATCAAAAAACATAATTGATTATTTAAAAGAGATTAACTTGTATTCTAGGATCTAATTGGCTCATTTCTATTGTCATTTACAATGTTTTACATAATATTTTAAGCCTATTATAGCATTCGGCACGATATGGCCAGTTATGTGTTGACGTGCCGTTAAAAATCCAAACAAACAAACAAAACAAAGCTTCACAGAATTCCGGATTAAAGAGAGTCCATTAATTTAACAATATATTATAATGTCAATATTAATAAAGACCGTAGTTTTAGTTATATATTTCAGGAATATTTTATGATTTTAACACTGTAAAACATTTTGCTAGCTCCATGTCTGAAATGGATAATTTACATACCCCATATCTGAAAGGGGCATCAACAGTAATCTTTGTCTAGTTAATTAAGGGGGGAAGTCAACATATCCTTGTAATGGCGAGTGTGTGATATATGCTTATATCCTGTTATATAGTTTTCTTCAATCTTGAAATTTGTTTTATCTAAAATTTATATAATGATTTTATGTCCTAATCCAAGGCTCGTTGGTCTAGGGGTATGATTCTCGCTTAGGGTGCGAGAGGTCCCGGGTTCAAATCCCGGACGAGCCCAAATTTTACACATTGTGTATCACATACTTTTGAACTGCTGGAAACATAATACGACAATGTATTATTTCTTTTATTATAAGTTTGTACTGCAGAGCTAATTAAGGTATCATTCAAAACTTTAAGAATCATGATGCAATAATTTCATATGTTAACCAATTTATGTGAATCGGTTTTAATAGAATGTCTTTAAAGAAATATCCATGATTCGTTGGTCTAAGGCCTTTACAATTTACATGTCAAAGATGCCAATTCATTGTTTACCATTTTCCAGTAAAACTTTAAATTATTTAATCTGAAATGGATTTAGTCTTTCCATATACTCAAATCTGAAATACATATGTGTGGCTCGTTGGTCTAGGGGTATGATTCTCGCTTTGGGTGCGAGAGGTCCCGGGTTCAAATCCCGGACGAGCCCTGTCTTTCGTTTTTTTTTCTCATTACTTATTATTCCATAAATTGTGAAATCTTACACGGTGTAGTACACAAACTATTACGTTACTTAAGTTTCACGTGAAAGAAATAAACAGTATGTCAATTATGGTCATGTATTAATTGCAGACCTATAAAATGATAGAGTGAAGAAGTCCTTTTAAACTTCATAGTTTATTTACATTTATTTACGGGTATGTTATGAAAATTATCATATTTTATCCCACTCGATGAAAATAAATTCTGTTTATAGAAAAAAATTGAATACCCCCTATATATTAACAAATTTGTGTGAAACGGGTTTATTTTTAGAAAGTTTTAAATGAAATAGTCCCACAAATACAATTAACATGTGAAAGATGACACTTTTTTATTTACATTTTCATTTTAACTTGAAATTTATTTTATCTGAAATTGATCTACCGCTTCCATACTCTAATACATGTACAAACCCAAAAATTCTTCAACTATTTCAATTCATTTGAAAGCAAAACTTTAATTAAAATAATGTTTAAATGTTAGGTTATTGTTAAATTAAGCTGAAATGTGTACGGCTCGTTGGTCTAGGGGTATGATTCTTGCTGAGGGTGCGAGAGGTCCCGGGTTCATTTCCCGGACGAGCCCACCTTTTACACATTGTTAACTACATGCACATACTTTTGAACAACTGGAAACATAATACGACAATGTATTGTTATTTCTTTTATTATGAGTTTGTACTGCAGAGCTTATTAAGTTATCATTCAATACTTTAAGAATCATGATGCAATACTTGCATACGTTAACCAATTTATGTGAATCGGTTTTGAATAGATTGTCTTTGTATCAAATATCCATGGCTCGTTGGTCTAGGGGTATGATTCTCGCTTCGGGTGCGAGAGATCCCGGGTTCAATTCCCGGACGAGCCCAAACCTTTTAACACAGGCCATTATCAAAACAAGTAATAATAAGAGAAATCACGACTTCCATCATAACATGAGATTAAAAGTTAAATCGTAAAACAATCGCCAATTTGACCTTATTTATTCGTACCATCGCTGCACAGAATTCCGGGTTAAAAACCGGAAGAGTCCATTAATTTAACAATATAAATATAATAATGTCAATATTAATAAAGAACGTAGTTTTAGTTATATATTTCAGGAATATTTTATGATGACAATCGTTTAACACTGTAAAACATTTTGTCAACTCCATGTATTAAATAAATAATTTACATACCCCATATCTGAAAGGGGCATCAACAGTAATCTTCGTCTAGTAAATTAAGGGAAAAGTCAACATATCCTTGTAATGGTGAATGTGTGAAAGATGCTTATTTCCTGGTATATAGTTTTCTTTAATCTTGATTTTTTTTTATCTTAACTTTATCTAATGATTTTATGTCCTAATCCATGTTATATATGTGCGGCTCGTTGGTCTAGGGGTATGATTCTCGCTTAGGGTGCGAGAGGTCCCGCGTTCAAATCCCGGACGAGCCCTGTCTTTTGTTTTCTCTCAATATTTGATAAAGTAATTTAAAGTGTAAAGTTTATCATGGTGCAATATATGATTTATAAATTTCATATATTAACCAGTTTGTGTGAATTGGAATTAATATAAAGTCTTTAAAGAAATATCCATGGTTCGTTGATCTAAGGGTATGATTATCGTCTTTACAAGATCCAATTCATTGTTTACCATTTTCAGTAAAACTTTAAATTTATTTTATCTGAAATGGATCTAATGTTTGCATACACTCAACTCTGAAGTATATATGTGCGGCTCTTCGGTCTAGGGGTATGATTCTCGCTTTGGGTGCGAGAGATCCCGTGTTCAAATCCCGTACGAGCCCTGTCTTTTGTTGTTTTTTTTCTCATTATTTATTATCCGATAAATTGAAAAATTTAACACGGTGCAGTACAGAAATTATTACGTTTCTTAAGGTAAGTTTCACGTGAAAGAAATAAACAGTATGTCAATTATGGGCATGTATTTATTGCAGACACATTAAATACTAGTAATAGAGTGAAGAAGTCCTTTTACACTTGATTTATTTAGGGTATGCTATGAAAGCTATCATATTTCATCTCACTCGATGAAAATGAATTCTGTATATAGAAAAAAATTAAATATCCCCTATATATTAACAAGTTTGTGTGAAACGGTTTTATTAGAAAGTTTTAAATGAAATATTCTCACAAATACAATTTACAAGTGAAAGATGACACATTTTTATTTACATTTTCATTTGAATTTGAAATTTATATAATCTGAAATGGATCTAACGTTTCCATACTCTAATACATGTACATTTTTAAAAACCCAGAAATTCTTCAACTATTTCAATTCGTTTTGAAAGCAAAACTTTAATTAAAATAATGTTTAAATATTAAGGTATTGTTAAATTTAGCTACATGTGTACGGCTCGTTGATTCTCGCTTAGGGTGCGAGAGGTCCCGGGTTCAAATCCCGGACGAGCCCAACTTTTACACATTGTGTATCACATACTTTTGAACTGCCGGAAGCATTATACGACAATGTATTGTTATTTCTTTTTATTATAATTTGTACATAACATGATATTTAAAGTTAAATCGTAAAAAAATCGCCAATATCAATTTATTTATTCGTACAATCGCTGCACAGAATTCCGGGTTAAAAACCGGAAGAGTCCATTAACACTATATTATAATGTCGATATTTATAAAGAACGTAGCTGTAGTTATATATTTAATTTAATATAGTATAAATATTAAACAACATCCGACTCATTGTGTAAGGGTATTGTACCCTTAGGATGCAAGAGTCCTTCTTTTACACTTTGTATATATTGATGTAATGCTGAGAAGTTTTATTTTGTGAAATTCATAGCTCGTTGGCCTAGAGTAATGATTGGTGCGAGAGGGCACGGGTTCAAATCAAGGACGAGCCCTATTTTTACTGTTGGCTAGCTTCTTCTTTTCAACTGACAAATGCAAAATATTACCATGACCAGTTGATTCTTTATTATACGGCGGCACAGAGGTGACATGTGTTTGTTTTTATTTATCTCGTGCGCACGAGATACTATGTCGTTGGCACGAGTTACTAAGTCGTTGCCAAGAGATAACGGAGTTTGTATAGGAGAACTTTATCATACAAATTATATATCATGACGCAATAATTTATATTAACGAATTTGTGTGAAACGGTTTTAACAGAAAGGTTTTAAATGCACATCTGCTTGGTTTGCAACTCTCAGCATCCGGAAAACCTGCGAATAATTGTCATATACATTTTGATTATCTGTACAAAGCACAAAAGGCATATTTTAGAATTGAATAAAAGTAGGGCTCGTCCGGGATTTGAACCCGGGACCTCTCGCACCCTAAGCGAAAATCATACCCCTAGACCAACGAGCCAGTTATCAAATATCGTAAATATTTCAAACTTAAGTGATATTCGCTAAATTAAAGTTAAATCTCTCAAAGTTTCTTATTGTTTAAAAATTATTTACGTATTTAGTCATAACCATTTAGCAAATCAAAATAAACAATAAGTAATAGTTACCGTACGAGGAATAGGTCTGCATAGTATTTACAGACCCGGGTGGCGATTTGAAGACCGAGAGAGCGTAGCGATCGAGGTTTTTAAAAGGCCACCGGGTCTGTAAATACTATGCAGACCTATTCCGAGTGCGGTAACTATCTTACCTACATGCTCTTTTGTTTTTCTATCCATACATCAGTTTTTAGCTCAGTATTTATTAATATTACTCACAAGAAACATATTACTTATGTACTTTATCATGTTTAAGAAAGCATTCCAAAGCCAAGCAAAGATACCATCCGCTACGCTCTTGTAATTCATTCGTTCACAAATCAGGTGTTATTTGAATATTCTCGTGATTTTCGTGGTGTTTCATTAGGTAATGTACTTGTTGAGTTGAGTCACAGAAAATGAAAACAGAACTTGTCGAGTAGGGAAAGGTAAGATCATTATTTTGATATATGAATACATAACATATTAATAATATAAACAAATACTGAGGAAGATAAAAATGTTTTCTAATCATAAAAACGGAACACTTTATCTTTATATATAATAAATTTCATGGTAAATAGATGATCAGGCTATTTCTTATATAATTAAAATATACGATGTTTTCAACGGGGTTCTATGAATAAATATTAGTAATACATGTAGTTACACCGTTATGTAAGTTGGGTTTTGTTGTTGTTGTTTTTTGTGATGGCTGATTTTAAATGTTCTTAGAATTTCATCCATGTTTGGAAGAATTTTCTTTCCGTGTATTCTTAATTAGCATAAACCGTTATAAGACAGCATGTAAGCACGCGGTCTAGAATGGAAGCGCAAGTCGTATTCTTGGTACTGGTATACAAAATCCAAATTGTAATGTAAAAATAACTGGGAAAAAATGATAAAAACGGTCTTATACTTAAGATGAACTATACTCTCACTGACAGTAATATTTTGGGAAAGAAAGATGCAGAAGTTGACTTTGATTCGATATGCACCAATAATATAATCTTCGTATATATCCTATAATGCAGAATTGTTAAAATAATGCAGGATTGTGCAAATTCAGACATAGTTGTAGAAATAAATACCGAAAACTAGTATCTTATGAAGCTATATAGTTCGGCAAATATGTTAGGTATACCGAAAAGCAAACTTTAAAGAAAGGCTTAATGTGCGTTGTTATACTCATTAATATCGGCGAAACACAAAACTTCAACGCCAGAACAGTAGCCAGTTCGTTTTTCTCGCAAATAATCTGGAATATAAGTTATGAGGGTACTTACAGCCGTATGCGCTAATTTATTTCGATTAATCTTTAAAATATATATCGACCCTTTTCCTATTCAAAGTGGTCATTATCCCCCCTCCCCCACAATATAGCGATATTTTACGGTGACTATTGTATACTGTAATGCACGAGTTTCTCGACTTCACATATTTTCTATTGTATAGAGAACAATAGAACAATAACCGGTCGGTATCTATTTGCAGACCTGTTAACCGGTCGGTAAGTGATTTACTAGACCGCTTTTAACAAAGGAGCCGGTAGGTAAACATCGGTATTGTCCAACAATATTGACCTGGCACTTCATTAATTTCCGTAAAGGTTAGGTGATAAACAGTGGTATCTAACGAATACATCGATATCTTTATTAACTTCACACGTCAATGAGTTGTGGTGTATTGATATAGATGCCTGACTTCTGATCTGAAGTTCTCTGGTTCGATACCTTACCAACACCACGATATGAGGACAAGTATTTTTTTTTTATTTTATTCTGAAATTTACATACAAGAATTAATTTGAAATCGTTATACTACATCTGGTTTTTAGGATACCTTTTAAGAAGTGTTTTTTATACAATTTTATTTTTTATTTCATTACATTATCTTTAATTACTAAAAAGGACAGCGCGTTTCAATACAAAATTAAAATTACTACACATAGAATACACACACAAAAATCAAAAACGTTTTGCACGTGAGTTAAGAGAGAAATGGCAATTTTAAAATAAGTTTAAAAAAAAATATAGAAGTGGCAGAACCAGGATTAACCTACGAGTGTACGTCTAAAATTGTTTAAAGTGAAAGCCCTTAACGATTTGGGGCTAAGGGGGTTTTTTATAACTTAACCTTTTTAACAACGGGTTTAAAAATACACTCGAAATCGATTTTAAAATGGGAAGAAAACTTTTAGGGAAAATTACCGAAAAGGGGTTTCAAACAAAGGGGGCCAGGTCAATGTTTGGGAAACAATAATTTTCCCCAAAAAAGGAGTACCCCCCCCAAAAAAAAAAAAACACAACAAAAAAATAAAATTATATGTATCTTTTCTAAAATCCTTAAAAAGAAAGAAAATGATTTTTTCCCGGGGTTTTAAAACTTTTTTATCAGCCCAATTAAAATAATGAAAATAATTTTTTTTAAAATTGAGAAAAAAAATTAAAGGGGCTCGTCCCCGGGATTTAAACCCCGGGCCCTCTCGAAACCAAAAGCGATATCATCCCCCAAACCCAACGAGCCACTTTGGGAAAGAACTAAAAAATTTTAATCATAAATTTATCTTAGCGCTTTTTATTTAGTAACCTGTAAATTTTTCACTTAATTTGTTTTCATTTTAAATTTAAATTCAGTGTTTAACATTTTAAAGGACTTTTCCATGGGTTAAAATGTAATAAAAAATTCCCGTAAGATTTCAAGATGGGACTTTTGATTTTAATTTTTTTTTTTTTGTTAATTCCCGAATTTTTAATTATACATGTGCAAATATAAATTTTTTTCCGGAAACATGCAAAAACAAAATTCCCCCTTTAAAAACATTTTTAGTAAAGGGTTTTTTAATCTTGAAAAATTTAAATCCAATTTTTAAAACAGCGTTTAAAAAAACTTTTTAATGGGAATTTATTTTTTTTTAAAATTTAATGACCTTTAGTTAAAAAGGCCCTTTAAAACTTAAAATTGTTTTAAAAAACATATAACAAATATTATTATTCATGTTAAATTATTCATACTATTACACTCTTTAACTATATCAATATTTGTTTTTTAAGATATATTTTTTTTAAACCCAAAATGATTTTTTTTTCCCGTTTTCCCCAATTTAAAAAAACCCTTTTTTTCTAAAAAAAGGGCCCAAAATTTGAAGAACATTAAATTTAAAAATAGGGGTTAAATTTTAATTTTTAAAAGAAAGGGTTGAACAATGCCCCCGTACAAAAATATCAAAAAAATTCAATGCGAGTAAACATGACGAGCCCGACCCACAAAAAATTAAACCCGAGACCCCCCCGGTTTAAAAACCTTATATTAAAAAAATTTAAACCCTGGCCCCCGGTTTAAAAATGTTGAATTCAACTTTTGTAAAAAAAATTTTTTCCAAAAACCCCTTTTCCCTTTTAAATTTTTTAAAAAAAACCCATTTTAGTTTTAAACCCTTTGACTAATTTTTACATTTTCGAAGGTCCCTTTTTCACAAAGACTGGGGTTAAAAGTCCCCCAAACGCCCTTTGTTATCATTCAATTTTCCTCCTTTTAAAATCTTTATTATGATTGATGGGGGTTTGGGGAATTTTCACTTATATTTGCATGCTCGTTGGCTAGGGTATAAAATTCCGTTTTGGGGTGGAGAGGCCCCGGGTTTCCCAAACCCCGGACAAAGCCCAAATTTTCCCTTTCTTTAAACTCCCTTTAGAAAAAATAGACACGGGTTTAAATATTTTTTTTTTAAAGGGGGTTTGAAATTGCAAATTATTAAGTTCCCCAAAATTAATTTTTAAAAATCATGTGCAAAAATTTTTTAAGATATTCCCCCAATTTTTGTGATTTGGTTTTTTAAAAAGATTGTCTTTGTAAATCAAAAATATCCATGGCTCGTTGGTCCTAGGGTATGATTCTCCGCTTCGGAGGCGAGAAGGTCCCCGGGTTTCAATTCCCGGAAAGACCCCAAATTCTTTTTAAGACAGGCCAATAATCAATACAAGTAAAAAAAGAAATCACGATTTCCCAAAACATAAAACATGATATGTTGAAGTTATAATTGTAAAAAAAAATTTCACCAAATTTTGAAACGTTTTGTTGGAACCATCGCAGCACCAGAAGATTCCCCTGTTTTAAAAACACGAACAGTCTTTTAAATTTTAACAATATTTGATACTGTCAGTATTTTAATATAGAAACTAAGTTTTAGGTTATATTATTTCAGGGAATAATTTTAATGATGTAAATTTTTTTAAATTCCTAACAACGACCCGCAAATTTTTTCCCTAATTGAACAATAGAGAAACCGAATAGTGTGTGTTAAATTATGCTTTATAAAATTTCCACTTTTTATTTTAAAAAATTTGAAATTTAAAAATAATAAAAAATACACTTTTGACAAAAAAATTTAACAAAAATTTTTTGTAAAACCCGAGAACCCAAAATAAATAACGGGAAAAACAAACCGGCCCCAATTTTTTTTGGCCTAAAATTTTTTTTATTTTTTAACCGGTTTCAGTTTCTTATTTCCTTAAAAAAAGTTCTTTTTTAAAAAATTCGAAAAATTTTAAAATTTTATCCCAAAAGGGGGTTTTTTGAATTTTAAAATTGGGGCCTTAAAAAAAAATTTTTAAAACTTGGTTTGGTTTTTTTTCGGAATAAAAAAATAAAATTATAATTTTCGGGCCCTTAACGCCCATTTTTTTTAAAAAATAATAATTCCCGGATCCAAAATTTCCAAACAGGTGTGTTTGA